ACGGGCCACCAGATGTAGTAGAAACGTACGGACGGGCCACCAGATGTGGTAGAACATATGCTGTCATATATGTTTTCACTTTTCAGCTATTTATTTTTTTGCATTTTTTGTTGCAATTTCAGCTACTTTCAGCTTGTTATGCTCCTTTCACCTTTTTTCCTGCTAATTTCAGCAGCTTTTTCTGATCTTTCAGCAACTTTTTAGTTGTTTTTGTGTTAAATTTAGCCTTTTCAGCTAATTCTACTTCTTTCTTTTTTTCAGTTCCTTCTACTTCCTTCTGGTAGTTTAAGCTTCTTTCTGCCTTTTCAACTATTTTAATTTTTTGTTGTTTTGCTCATTTCTTCTTTTTTAGCTATCGTAATTGTCAGACTTTAAAACAAATTGTCTCTAAGCCTCACTTATTAAATATAAGATAAATCATAATTTTGTACATAATTAAGACTGTACGATTTTTAAGCCTCGAGCATCCACCATTCATCGTTAGTATCTCACCGTCTGCTCCGGCTGCGTGCAGCTTTCTTGTAGTACAAGAATCAGCCAGCAGGTGGCAGTCACAGAGTATAGCTTGCTTTCAACACACACTCAGATTGCAAGATCATCATGAAGCTTGGCTGTCTGACTCATGGTTACAACCATTACACCTTCAAAATGAACACGATAACTATCCGAGCATAATCACTGTTCAGAACGGTGCCAAACACCAACTGAAATGATTTAAATTAAATTTCACGTGATTTCTGCTCAGCAAAGAGTTCATATGAGCAGGACGGGGGAAGAGACCCTCCCTCCCAGACGTTTCCTCAGTTCTGTTTAATGCCCCTTTTGGAGCTTAAATGATATAATGGTATTTAAATACATATCTGCCATACACAGAAATATTTTTAAAAAACTTTTATTTAAATATGTCTTGACTGACCGCTTTAAAAATAAATCTGACGGCTTCTCCACCGTTGTAGTCTCGTGACGGAAGGGGAGACTCCTTTCTGTTTCTCCGCTTCGTGTTCGGATGTGACTTTAAAAATGAGACAACGGTATTTAATTCATATTTACTGACACAGAAAGAATTTTAAAACTTTTTTTAAAACGTGTATTTTGCATCTCAAATCCTGACCATTGTTGATTACGGGCAGCAGCTCTGTCCTCCTCTGCTTCCTCTTCAGCCGATCGCTTTTAACATGAAAGCTGCGTTTCACAGTTACTAATAAATGTTCTATTAGAGAAGCCTTATACACTTATGCATGCTCACAACCACACACAAATAGAAGCAGGGATGCTTATGTAGGCTTTATATGTAGATATATAGATATGTATGTGAGTGTATATTCATGTGTATGTATGTATGTATATAGGCGTAGGTATGGGTATATATATTTATGGAAACTTACTGCAAAGCCATGAATATTTTAAGTTCTTTATACATATGTATTTTGTTGCTGTGTTTTGTCATGTTCTTTGCAGGTGAACAGACAGTGGCCGGGTGTTTTGACGTGTGCTCTATTTGTGTATATTTCTTATATTTTGGAGTCTTACTTTGTCTTTTCTTTCTTTCTATCCTATTAAAAAAAAAAAAAAAAAAAAAAAAAAACCTACACTAGATAGTCACTATAATAAATATTTCATAATAATGGTGTGGAGAGGATGGCTGTAAGGGGAGAAGGGAGGCCATCTAAAAAAAAAAACATGAAAGCTGCGTCATAAGAAATTCTCCGTGCGTTTTCCATTATCACTGAACAAATGAACAGGTCTGTGCATGAAGCGCACAATACGATAACACGGGAACGACAATATCTGAAGAAATTAATGCGCGTTTATCTTGAGGGTTGGTCCTCGATAGTACCTCGTTGGTCATTCAGGTTAGACTTCTGGTCACATGATGACAGAGTGGGTGGAGTTATGTTAGGAATTTGAAACCGTGAGCCAGAGTTGTTGTACATCTGATTACCTGAGGGCTTTCTTTCTGTCACTAACACCTGTCCCATGGGGGGCGAGGAGTCAGGAGCTCCCAGCTCTGTCAAAAGGAAAATGTTGGTGACAGGAAGCTATTGAGAGATGGCAGGAAGTATTTCAAAATAAAATATAAAATTAAAATTTAGAAAATTATATAAAAAAAAATAAAAGATAAATTTGATGGTCCTTCATATAAACAAAGTGTGAGACAAAAGTAGCAGCTTGTACAAAGACAATTATGTTATGAGGTCCCTCTTATAAATGAGTCCTCGAGGCTCAATGGGATTTACCTGTCTAAATAAAGGTTGAATATATATATATATATATATATATATATATATATATATATATATATACACACACACTCAAACTACTTCTTGCACTACTATTCCTACTTCACAGTTTTTCACTTATCGCAGGGCTTCAAGGTACAGATCCCCCATGATAAATGAGGGACTACTGTATAGTCACACTAAAATATGAAAACATTTACAGGAAAGGATAATAAAACTCTTATGAGTGACACTCATTTTAACATTTTTTAAATCTTATTTTTATAACTAAACCAATGACAGATGTTCATCCAGTTGTTGTTAGGCTGTTCCTCTCCGCATGTGTTGCTGAAGCTGATCATAAATTCAGTCAGTTGTTATATTGTCTTTATTAATAATAATTAACAACTACTTTTCCATTCAGTAGAAGTATTTGTGTAAAGTGCCCCCTCCCTGTCGTTTCAGTTGGGATTCCCACCATCAAGTGGTGCGGTGCTGAGGGGGACTACAACGTGATGGTGATGGAGCTGCTGGGGCCCAGTCTGGAGGATCTGTTCAATTTCTGCTCTCGAAAGTTTAGTCTGAAGACGGTCCTGCTGCTGGCTGACCAGATGGTGAGAGCAACATGACGTCTCGTACATGACTTGTTGAGCAGAGGAGATAGAAATGTTGGCTTATAACCAACATCTGGGCGCCTTTTCAACATGTTTCCTAAAAAAGAGGAAAGAAAAAGCTCGTTTAGGCGTAGTTTGGGACTTTACCTGGCTCAGCCAGGACACCTTGTTCACATTAAAGTGATCGTTCCATTCGAAGGTGTTTGCTACCAAACCGGTATCTACAGTTGTACATGTTCAGCCCAGACCTCAGTCATAGGAAGTTAAATGTGTAGAAAGAGGACGAAGTCTTTAAACTGAGCTAATTACTCATTGATCTAATGGCTAAATATTTTCATGTTGAAAAGTTTGTTGCTGTTTTCTTCTCTGAATAATGTGTTATTCATACACAAATACTTCCTGTTTCCTACAAATGGTTGCTGCCAGTATCTACACTGGGTAAACATTAAACACAAATAAACGTCTCACCTTTCAGGGCCACACTGTGCATTTTTTTGTCCAGATTCCAGATCATCATTTATTGAATCACCTATATTAAGTCATCTATATATTCTTACTTTAGTAAGAAAGTTAACACAATAAAAGTAATTAGATTATGTAAATGTGTTGGACAAATATAGCATAATAGAATACTAAACAGTCCAATTAAAGTAAAAATTGTTGAACAATTTGTGGTATTAAAATGTTTCTTGGTACCATAAAGGCTGTCTCTTTGAGTCTTCTAAGAATCATTTTGACTGGTGAGCACATGTTGTTGACCTCTGTCAAATAAACACTCAGGTCACTCTGCCTTCAGTCTACTGCAGGTATGAACTGCTCAGTCACTGCACGTGAACTACAGATGGGTATATGAAACAAAAATACTCTAAAGTTTGATGGTCATGGCTAGGCCAGTTACAGTAAACAATTAATCAATTAATCGCATGATAAATGAAAATTATTAACCTCGTTTTCATTTATCGGCTTTATTGTTTCTTCGTGTCTCTCTCTTTTTACTGAAGACACTGGATGACAAAAGGTTCAGCTCCGGTGCTCTTCACTGACCCCTCCCTTTCTCTTTTCTCTTTTCTTTAAAATCTGTTTAATCGTCCAAAATCGCATTTTTGGATTAAAAGCTGTTAAAAGCAGCTGAGAAGCTAAGCTACGAGCTAAGCTAACAGGCTGACCTCGGGGGGGGGGGGGGGGGGGGACCTTTGTCTTGTCGAAGCTCCAAAATTCACGGTTGAAACTCGTGCCTTCGTGTAAAAAGTTGTTTTTCTCTGTAAAAAGAAGCTGAGAACTTGTTTAATGATTTATTTTTATTTTTATTATTATTAAAAGTTTTGTTTGACAAATGCTATGCTAAAGAGCTCAAACCACACCGAGCGTCTGCCATTTTGAAAACCGAATAAAGGAAGGAGAGACAGCCCATGTCACGTCAAGGGGCCTTCCTCCCATTTTTCTTAGAGACACATTGCTCACTCCCTCACTGTCCATCCTTTGGTTTAAACTGTCTTATGCTGCCATCTGGTGGTTTAAAAAGGTACTACACTATAAATAAAATTACCAATATTTATTCTTGAAATTTGACAATAATTACTAATTATTGTCAAATTTCAAACAAGATTATCGTTTATCGCAATAATTTCTGAGACGATTGATCAGCCAGCACAATTAGTTGTCGTGACAGGCCCGGTCATGGTTTCAGTCTTGAGGCTAACAGAAGTCATAGTTCCAGCTGAAAAGGAATCACTGGATTGTTTCCATACGATGTCACAGAACACAATAAATCCTATCATGTTTAACAGTTGTGTTTTTGATTGACTGATTGATTTTAGATCAGCCGCATCGAGTACATCCACTCCAAGAACTTCATCCACAGAGACGTGAAGCCTGACAACTTCCTGATGGGGCTTGGTAAAAAGGGTAACCTGGTCTACATCATTGACTTCGGTCTGGCTAAGAAGTATCGTGATGCACGCACACACCAGCACATCCCCTACCGTGAGAACAAGAATCTAACGGGCACTGCTCGCTACGCCTCCATAAACACACATCTGGGCATCGGTAAGAGGAGCACCTGTGCTGTGACTGATTCATTGGTTAAGTCCTGCAGACTGCTCAGCCTCCCCGTGTGATTACAGAACAGTCCAGACGGGATGACTTGGAGTCTTTGGGATATGTCCTCATGTATTTCAACCTGGGCTCTCTGCCCTGGCAAGGCCTCAAGGCTGCCACCAAGAGGCAGAAGTACGAACGCATCAGTGAGAAGAAAATGTCCACACCCATCGAGGTGCTCTGCAAAGGCTACCCATGTAAGTTGTAATAGTCTTACCTGCTGACATGTTGACGAATTCATCATTTCTTTCCTATACAGGGATGTTTTAAAACCTCAGCACTGGCTTCATGCTCAAATGTCTTGTCTTCGTTTCCTCACAGCGGAGTTTGCCACCTACCTGAATTTTTGCCGCTCTCTGCGGTTTGATGACAAGCCTGACTACTCGTACCTCCGCCAACTCTTCAGGAACCTCTTCCACAGACAAGGCTTCTCCTACGACTACGTCTTTGACTGGAACATGCTCAAATTTGTAAGTTATCTACTGAAAGAAATAAAAAAGTGACAAACACAACTTATAAAGTCCAATAAATACTCATGTTGGGATGGAGTTTTAATTCCATAGTTTAAAAACATGAAAAGCCCCAAAACATCTTCTGAAAGCTTCTGTCTCTTCCTTGCCTCTTCTTTAGCAGCCAAATGTACCGGATGGTTGTTGCTTTTTGTTTTGTCTTTCCACAGGAACTTTTAGGGATGGAATAATTCATGTATGAGGAATATAAAGGAACTGGAACTGTCACATGAAGAGCACAGGTTGGACAACTGGGAGATCAACTTAGAGAGGCCACACTGAGATGGTCTGGACATGTCCAGAGGAGGGACAGTGGTTTGGACATGTCCAGAGGAGGGACAGTGGTTTGGATATGTCCAGAGGAGGGACAGTGGTTTGGACATGTCCAGAGGAGAGACAGTGGTTTGGACATGTCCACAGGAGAGACAGTGGTTTGGACATGTCCAGAGGAGAGACAGTGGTTTGGGCATGTCCAGAGGAGAGAGAGTGGTTTGGACATGTCCACAGGAGGGACAGTGGGTATATTGGTAGGAGGATGTTAGAAATGCAGCTGCCAGGAAAAAGACAGAGGAGATATATGGATGCAGTTAGAGACATGGAGGTGGTTGGAGTGAGGACAGAGGACATAGATGGAGGAGGATGACTCGCTGTGGAGACCCCTGAAGAGGGAAAAGCTGAAAGAAGAAGAAGAAGAACTGTCACATGATCCCATGTCTATGTTGAGGAGAGCGTTTAGCACGTGGGTGTGTGTTGAGAGGCAGAGAGCAGCAGTCAGGTGACAGGGTGAAGGTTAGCATGTCATAGGGAACATTTAATCTGTTCTCTGCAGTGATGTCAGTTTTTTCCTTCTCGCACTGTTTACTAGTCTGCTTAACTAGAGAAACCACAATGAACCGGAACTGGAACTGGTTTGGCTTTTGCATACAGTTATTTCTAGTTTGCACAGACGAGGCAACACAACAAAGCTTTTCAACCACTTGAGAAACAGCCGAGCTGTGAGAGCAGCCAGTGGACAACGAGTGACTTTACACCATTATTGAACTGAAGACCATAACACCAAACCATAGATGTTGTTGAACTGTTCCACCCAAGGCCAGTCTGCTCCTGTAGTTAAAGTGAAACTTGTGCAGAGCAGCGTGAGTGATGGTGTTAAAAGCTGCCCTTTGTTTGTCAGGGTGCCAACAGGGCTGTGGAAGATGCAGAAAGGGAGCGTCGGGAGCGTGAGGAGAGGCTCAGGCACAGCAGGAATCCTGCGGCGAGAGGTATTGCTTCTGCTTCTGGTCGAGCCAGGGCGGCTCAGGACGCTGCAGCCCCCTCCCCACTCAACCCTGCCTCGCACACAGGTCTGAGCACTCACTGGATACGTTACAAACTGGATTCTTTCTCATGTTTCACTTTAGACAACAAACTGCTGGTTAGAGTTTTAAATGTCAGCTTTTTAAAACAGTTCAGTCCAAAAATCTTTTTTTAATTTTTTTTTAAATCGTTTAGGAATGGAGAAGGAGAGGAAGGTGAGCATGCGTCTTCATCGTGGAGCACCTGTCAATATCTCCTCCTCAGATCTGACAGGACGCCAGGACACATCCCGCATGTCCACCTCACAGGTAACGAACCACGTTATTTAAGTTCTGCGATTCATTTACCCCAAACTCACTGCAGTGTTTCCCCTGGGTCTACGGCCTACTGGACAAAGAGCATGTTTAGCTTCTAACTTTGTTTTAATAGTTTTGTAGCGTGGAAGATTTATTTACAAAGCGCTCAGCTTTTCTCTCAGCATTGATTTCTTCAGGACTTCTCAAAGAACTTTTTCAAAGCTTCTTGTTATAGATGAACACTTTGTTTTATTCTGTGGGTTTTCAGTAGGTTGCAACATTTGGGAATGAGTTTAATTCAATAAATGATCAAATAATAAGAATAAACTAGTTTTGTATTGATTCTGGTAAATCTGTGTAGTTTGCCTGTATTGTTATTGAGAGTGACTCAAACAGGCTGCTCAGTTTGGTCATGACTGTTTATATTAATGTTAGTTGGAATGTGTTTACATTTAATACAAAGTATAATTATACACTGCCTGGCCAAAAATAAAGTTGCCACCAAAAAAAAGGTCACGCACTAATATTTTGTTGGACCGCCTTTATCTTTGATTACATCATGCATTCACTGTGTCATTGTTTCTATAAACTTCTGCAATGTCACAAGATCTATTTCCATCCAGTGTTGCATTAATTTTTCACCAAGATCTTTCATTGATGACTAGAGCTAGACAATAATTCGATATCGATATATCTCGCGATATACTTTCATTCAATAACGATGATGTGAGTTTTAAGCACATTTTCGATATTTCGATAGGATTACAGCGTTTCACTGACACATTTCTTTTTGTGTTCGGGTTGAAGCGGCCACTTCAGTTTCAACCCGGACAGAAAAAGGTGCTACACAACTACCTAAGTGTGTGGTGACGTAATGTTACGCAGAGCTCATGTCCAGAAGGCGTTAGTGGTAGCAGGCTAAGCTAGGCTAATCTCTAACGCGCGTTAAGTTTTCTCTTCAAAACGAGTGCCCATGACCGTCAGAATGACTGAACAAGGTTTCACAAGCGAAGAGAAGCAGATGACATCACTGATAAGAGAGGAAAGACTAATTCGCTGGTTTGGAAGTGGTTCGGCTTTTTAAGATCCGATAAACTGCAGGTTTCAGTCAGTGTGCTGCAAAATGTGACGGAGAGTCGTTCTAACTCGCGGTTGGAGCATCGAACATGTTCCACTGGACAGAAGATGCTGAGTCACAAGATGAAGCACAATAAAGTTTGAGCCAACGTGTCCCTGAAACACCCCCAGCGCTGCGTGCTTTGTTTTTGTTTTTTTTGTTTGTTTGTTTTTATCATTTATTCATTCATTTAATATAAAACAAATTCATCAGAAAGAAGAAAATAATTCTTATCTGCCCCTAATTTAAAAAATACAAAATAACTACAAACAATCAACAACCTCGACTTGAACAATCTCCAAACTGAAAACAAAAAAACTTCAGGTATCCTTCACCTGGTGCTATACCTTCCCAACAACTTTAACTCAACCATCTTTTTAAAACATATAAATTGTTTTAAAAAAAAATTATGGTGATATCAAGACAATTCCATAATCCTGTTCCCTGAATTACAACGCAGCTCCTTCAGACCAGTTCTAAATGAGGTTTTACAAACATTTACAATCCCTTAAGTTATATCGACTCTCCTTTTTTATATTTATTTTTTACAAATTTAAATTGAATATTTGGGGCTAATATTTTTGTGAGCTTTATACATGACTTGTAAAATACTATATTCAACCAAATCATAACATTTTAATAATTTTAATTGATGAAATAATATATTTGTTGGGTGACCATAGCACTTCATAATACTAATAATTCTTATAGCTCTTTTTTTGTAAAAATTAAAAATAGGGTTTGTAATTGTTTTTTATGCTTTTCCCCAAACTTCATTAAACTCTTTTACTTCAATAATGCAATTGATTATTTTTATTTTTAAGTAATTTACATGAGATTTCCATGTCAGCTTCTCATCAATAACGACACCCAAAAATTTTATTTCATTAACAACAAATTTCAATGCTGTCAATTTTAAAGTTGTTGTTTAAAGTTTAAATTATTAATATTGACAACGTTGAGAATTTTGTTTATTTGACAGTGATTTCAATTTTTTTGAAGGTTAAATACAAATAAAAGGTGAACATTAATTTATTTGTATAGTTTGTAGTTTTTCTGAGGCTTTTCTATTGTTTATATCAATATCGAATTATATCGTTATCGATTGAAATTAAGAAATATATCGTGTTAAAAGTTTTGGCCATATCGTCCAGCCCTACTAGACACTAGACATGATGTCATCACTTCACCTGCCTCTCTTCTTACCCTGATGCAACCATCACTCTGGAACAGGGTCAATCTGGACTCATCAGACCACATGACCTTCTTCCATTGCTCCAGAGTCCAATCTTTATGCTCCCTAGCAAACTGAAGCTTTTTAATCCAGTTAGACTCACTGATTAGTGGTTTTCTTAAGGCTACACAGCTGTTCAGTCCCAATCCCTCGAGTTCTTCACATTGTGTGTGTGGAAATGTTCTTATTAAACAGAGTCCTGAGTGCTACTGTTGTTTTTCTTCCATTTGATTTCAACAAATGTTTAAATGATCACAGATCACGATCATTCAGGAGTTTTTTCGGCCACATTTCTTCTCGAAGGATCATGGTCAGAGAAACACGGCACAGAATAAAATGAATCATATGCAGAGACACGTCCTGAGCTGCACAGTGCGCCGTTTATACTGACACTTTTAAAGGGTGGGGGTGATGGAGAGACAGCGGCGCCATGTTTGTACCGGGGGGGGGGGGGGGGGGGGGGGGGGGG